TCTGCAAAGATGCAGGATGGGGGGAGGAGGAAGGGAACACAACTTTCTTTTACTCAGCGCTCTGTCGCCTCTCTGCAAGAAGCACTGACCACACAGAAAACCCACACGGGAAAACCAAAGGAGCTGAGAAAGAGAAGGCTGTTAAGGTAGAACTCCAAACAAACCCCACTAACTTTAAATATCAAAAGAAAACATCTAGCAATAACACAAGTTTGTAAGGTAAGTCACAGAAAGCCCGGCAAAGGAAAGTTGCTCTCTTGTCATTGCAGATCCGGGTTACAGAAGCCATGACTCTTGTGACCGCATCATTACTCAGTTCTAGATCGGGTCAGTTGCACAAAGGCTCATTAAATATTTACAGGTAACTTTTTTTCTGACTTGTGACAACTGGGATCAAGATAACCACCCATTTACTAAAGCCGTTTTGTTCAAAGAAGTTTTAAAAGTCACCCAGCAAGAAAAAGACAAATAGGAACAGAGCCTACAGCACAGCAATTGTTAGTTATTTTTAACAGGTACAAATGAAAAATCTTGGCCCACAAAAAAAAATGGCAATTTTTAGAGCAGGTGAGTTTCTTTGACAAAATTAGCAACTCTTAAAAGACACAGTGCACAAATCTCAGTACTAAGAATAACACAAAGAACGGCTTGACTATCAGTTTCTAATCACAGTAGTTGCTGGAGATAGTTCTGAAATTGCAAAGTATGGTGAAGAGCTAGCTGATATCTTATCTGGGACATAAAGCAACAAGCAGAAGAAAGAAATCTTACACAAACTAACTTACATTTCCCCCTAAGAGAATCTCTCTGTAGAAACCCCATGAAAGTTGATTCCTTTTCCTGAATGTCCTGTGCAAACACGTTACTTACGCTGCCCAGTAACTGATTCTGCAGTAACAAAGCGCATTTCCTGTGTAAATGAGGACCTGAATCACAATGTTTTGTGAAGAAGCTCCCCCTACCCAGCATCACCAAGGGAAAACTGGACAGGACCTGGCTAGAACAGCAGCTGAGCCTTAGTTTGTATCTACAGGCATGCTCAACTGCTTTGCAAAAAGACTTCCACCATAGAAATTTCAGAGTTAAAAATAGAAGGTGTGCCTCCGAATAGTTAAGTTCTCTTCCTACAATCCTGGCATTATATTCCTTCTCTGACATGAATACCCGTGAAAGATGTGGGATGGCCAGTACTGGAGACAGCCTACTGTTAAAACCACATAATTGGTACAGACAGAAACACAAGTTCTCTTTACCAGAATATTCCTCCCTCCTGTACCCAGGGACTTCTCAAAGCTCTAATTCAGCTTTCCTGCCTTTGCAGTTCACAGCCTCTCTGCACAGGCTTTTATCAGGCTCCCAAAGATAATGCTAGCCCTCACAACAGAGAGCTGGGACAGGGCTCAGACACCTCCCCCCTTTTTGCAGTCATCAGGATGCAGTCTTTAGGCAGGTGTGAAGTCAAAGCAGATACTTGGCAGTAAAAGGTTCTAGTAATTCTATGTCAATCCAAGCTCTCAGTCACACTTAATCCGTCTTGTTATTCTGTCCTCAGAAATTATGAGGCAAGGAACAGAAGTAAGAATAGATGGTTCTGCCAAAGAAATCAGCCCCACTTCATTGAAGTATCCCTCACGTTACCCCATAGATGGAGTTGGGTGAATTGTATCTATGTTTTCAAATACAGGTCACATTTCAGTAAAAGCTGAAAATGTTCTTTGCTGTGTAGCATTTTGAAAGCTCTTAACAGGCACAATGCCCATGGTGTCTTCCTCAAACCAAAGCACTATAGCCAGGAAAAAGCACAGGAGAAGAGTTTCCTACACCTTTTATCAAACTAAGAGAAATAACTGAGAGGCACTGAGCTGCCTCACAATCCAGAACAACTCTGTCCCAAGGCTGTTATGAAACGCTCCAAATACTTGGTTAAAATGCCCTGTCATTCTTTAAAGAAATCATCTCTATTTTTTTAATCTATTCCAATCTATCTCTTTAAATAAACAAAGTAAGTTCTTTGAGAAGATCAAACACTTTTTAAAAATCCTAGTTGATGCCAGCAATCAGGGTTTGCTTACACGAGAAGTTAACTGGGACAAGCAAAAGCTGAATGTCATTTATCATGGGACAGCGCAGAAGAACACTCATTGACTAGCTATAAACAAGGTTTTAACTTAAGAGATACCACCTCCATTCTTCTACACTCCCTTACAGAGCAAGTAACTAGCCATTAACAACAGAGAGAGAGAGAGAGAGAGAGAGAGAGAGAGATGGATGCTATATACAGGTTGATTTTACACTTTCTTTCCTCTTAACCGAAATTACTTTGTTACAGATTAACTTTGCCCAATAGCTGCAAAGCAGACGTGGGAGGTGCATGCACAACATACCTTTGCCACTGGTTATTTTTGCTGTAACTATCTGTGTCTATTGTTAAGGCAGTATCATTTACGACAATCTACCCTAGTACAAAACCGCGATGAACATCCAAGATACTGTATGGCTTTTCAAGCACAATGTTCTCAAGATAGGCGTGCATGGAGCAAGGACAACACAGTAATCTCTAAGAGTTTATTAGCAACTTCAAATGGAGGAACCAGAAAAGCAAGAAAAGTCAAAGTTCTTGAGCAAATATTTTCTCTGCTGGCACCCAATCCCTTATCTTGTGCTAGCTCAACTCTGTCCTCATCCTGAGCCACAGGCAGAAATTAGCACGAGCCATTCAACCCTCACCCTTCCAGAGAGGAGTTTTGGCTAAGATTCACACCTGCAGCAGGGAAGGCAATCTTCGCTACCACCTCTACCCTGAGTCTGGTGTAGAAAGCCAGTTCCCAAGCTCCAAAGCAGGCACTATCAGTTGTATAAGTCATGTGGAGCTCCACAATCACAGCAGGGTGCAGAAAAGGAGGCAATCACTAAATAAACAGAGGTGTAGCACGTTCACTTGGGGCTTCCCAGATATGAAGAAAGCTTAAGACAAATCGTAGCTTTCAGCTGCCCAGAAGGATTGTGTGGGCCAAACACAAACTTTATTGGGACCACTACTTTAGGGGTGCACCATTATAATAAACCCATAGCAGTTCTCATATCCTTCTTGCCTAGAATCAACAGGAGGAAAACGACGACGACGACGTTCTTCCCTATTACAGCATCCATAACCAGCACTGCTATCATTCACTCTTTTCAGAAAGTACTGCATCCCAAGTAACGCAAGCATTGGTGGGGGAGCTTATTACCTGCCTCCAGTCAAAATACCTAAAGGACTACAGTACTAAGTCTTTGCAATGAGTTTACCTTAAGCCAAAAGCACTCAGAGGTACTGTCTGGCACTTCCTCTAGACAGGAAGAACACAAGTGTAGAGGACTCATCTAGTTTCAGAAGCGATACTTAAATGTGGAGCTTGTGTATGTTTCTCTGCCTCAGCTGGCAAGATCTCCCCCACACCTACCCTGCCACCTGGGGTGCTTTTCTGCATCGATCAGCAGAGCATGAAATCAGTGTCACATGCCTGCACAACAGAACTTCTGCTGGCACGATTCGAACATGGGAGAGCAACATGCAATCACACAGAAATAACAGGAGCGTGTCATGTTGAACAAATGCTTTATAGAAAAGGAATACCCAGCAAAGAGTGAGAACTGCCAGGTAATACTACAACCTTGGGGCTGCTGAGGTTTAGTGCAGATCGACGCTCTAACCACAAAATGTCTGGTCTCCTCTCAGCCTCCGAAAAGCATGGCATATTCCTGTAAGTAACTACAGAAGGTGAAGTGGCAGCAGTACAACAGGCTCAGATCTAACAAACAGTAGGTTTTGGACTTAAAGGCTCAACTTCCTCTTTAAAAAGATAGTACAACCTCATGTGGATAACAACCCATTTAACCCATTAAGCATTTCCAATGCATCTACTAACATTTCAGTATCCCAGTGCTAGGTATTAGTATACTAGTGAAAGCATTAACTTCATCCAGAAATAAATGCCCTTCAGTTCTTTGGTAGTACCACCAACGCTCCCAGAGAAGAGCATAAACAAAGACCACTGTATTCAGTGAAGAGCTGCAGAAAATAAGTGCGTGCTGTACTGTGCTCAGAGACAGGTAAGATACAAATTCCCACCACCTTTGAAGGCAGGAAATTCTGTCACCCTTAGGAAATTCCCACATCCTATCAGTGGGAATTTCACCACTTCTCTAAATAGGTAGCAGAAAGAAGCACCTTTTTAGCTGTGCAATTTGTTACTAACAACACTACAAACTCTCAGTCTTTCTAACAATTAAACCAAAGTTAAAGATAAGAAATGCCACTACTCACTCCCACGTTAACTGAGAATCCTGGGCCAGGAATGTTATTTTTACACAGTACTGTAAGGCTCTCAGAAGCAAGACACAGCAGTCATTCTTCTAGCTCCTCCTGATGGCAAATGACAGGCATAGCACCCTAACAAGATGCTGGAGTGAGAATTTTAACGTCATAACAGAGTGAAAGTACGTCAAAGTGTCATAATAATGAGGATCTAAGTAAAACAACAAAGCAGGGTTTGCTGCGAGACAATGTCTTATTTGATCAAATGCTATAATCAGGGGAGGGGCAGACTCACAGCCACATAAGGTCTTCTCTGGGTCTGAAACAGAAACAAACTTCAAGTACTAGCTGAGGTCAATGGCTCTGGTTTAACATATTGTCTAATTGATGTAGCTTAAAAAAAAGGAAGCATGACACCTATGGAACAGAGGAGGGTCATTAGCAGTGAGAGGTGATTAGGTTGTTAGGCCCTATGGGACAGAAGAGAGATAGCTAAGGCAGCCAATAAAATAAGGTTTGAAAATGGCTGCAGATTCAGGGAGATGATTTCCATTTACATATTCACCAGTTCAGGAACTAATACAGCCACAAGGATCACCCTCACCTCTGTTAAAACAGCAAAAAAGAAAGAAGTCCAACCAACGATGAACAGAGAGAAAGCACGAAGGATAACAAAACAACAAAACCACGCACGTGCACACGCACACATTCCCTATGGGTATCAAACATTTTATTTACTTTTTTAAAGAAACTACAGCAACATACATGATTACAGAATTGTGAAACACTGTAAAATGAAAGGAATGAAATGGGCTGGGTCCAAGCGCTAGCAACCTCATGCCTTTTCCTTGATACTATCAGTCAGAAAAATTACGTTATCTGAAAAGAAATAAAGAGAATTTAATCTTCAGGATTGTTTCGCCTGCTGAAAGCCTGGACACCCATGCAGGCAACCTACTTGTGTGAAAATAAGCTGCAAAGATACGCACTTCAGAACATTTCATAAAATAAAACAATGTCCGATGCAGGGTTCTTGCTCTGTCTCCTCAGAAGGCAGACAACTCAACAAGAGCATACATACTCCCAAACAAGCGTATTCAACCTTATTAAAAGCTGCTGAACTGTCAAAGGTATCAGAAACATTTTGAAATAGGAGTTCAACTCTTTGACTGTGATCTCTATCAGTTATAGCTAATTTCCTTTCAAGCATGCACTACCATGTCATCAGCCTATGTGACTGTAGGAAGTCCATATTTCATCAAGGCTCAGGGGTTTCTGGAGCACTGTGAGACTGGGGATACTGAATAGTAAGAAGAAATCAATAGGATAAATACTAAACAAGCAAATAAACACAAAAAAAAAGGGGGGGACTTGCTTCTTCCCTCTAGATATTTGTAAGTAGTAACTTATAGCACTGCTGGCTGGAATTGCTCATGTGAAAGTTTGATTATTACTGTTATAAACAAGCTGCACTGGAGAAACATCTAGAAATAGAAAATAGAATATTTTTCCTCCTTTGACCCAGTATTTTTAGATACAGTTGTGTAACAGAAGTGTTTATTACCCAGTTATTTTAGCCCTCCTCCAAAAGCCACAAGATAGCGGCTCTACCCACAGCAAAAAAGTAGGACCAAATTGTCCTTGGCTACTCTCACACTATTTCAAGACTCAAAGGAAAAGTTCAGCTTCTCAATTCTCTTCTTCACTGTGTCTACCCAAGCAACAAACTTACTCCCTATCCAGTGCTTTCTTACCACTATTGGCCAGACTGAAGTCTGTCTAAGTTCTCCATCAGGTTATCCCCACATAAAACATCTTTCACAAACAGAGGTCCTTAAAGTTGGTGGAGCCTCCAATCTTAAACGAGAAAAGAAAAAGTCCTTGACAAACCTGAGTGAAAGCTACTAAATGAGCTCCACTTTGCTTACAATATGAATTTACCTGGCCTGCAGTGTTATGTGCTTGAAAGCCCACAATATCTACCTGCTGCACTAACTGGTTTGTGCAAGCATACTTTGCAACAATAAACAAGCATTTGCTCTTGTTTTCTGGCTTTTCACAAGCAGTACCAGAGGACATCTACTGCTACAAGCTGGGAACTAAAGAGAGCCTATTCATTCTCTCAAAATCCCCTACTGCAGATTCTGAGGCCAAAGACAGACAAGCTTTATTCCAAAGGTCCTCAACCCCCTCCCCTCTATTTTAAAAAGGCAAGGTAGGCTTGGTGCGTTAAGTTCCTTACCTGCTATAATTGTTGTGGCCTGCCGTCTCACATTGTTTTTATCTGTATATTCACCATAGTCTATCTTCCCTTCGACGTAGAGCCGAGCACTAAAAATTAAGAATTTGGTTCTGGTCAGAGAACATCACTTTTTTCTTCTCTATATTTCATTCTGAGATTACACAGGATTTTGCCTCACTTGTTTGTAGTATTTGTCTGCAAGGCACTTCTGTCTTAATACAGCTCCTGGTCACCATAATTATTATATCAATTATTATTAATGCATTAAATCCACAAGCACATTTGTTATTCACTTACCCCTTCTTCACATACTGATACGTAACATCCCTGAGGCCCGGCCTAAAGACAGAGATCCTGTGCCACGTGGTCTTCTGACTGATATCACCTAAGTTACATAAAAATAGCAAGTTGGATACCACATCTTCCTTTTACACAAGCCACCTCAGTTAGTTTCAACAAGTTGACGTTCTTCAATTATTATGAAAAGTGATTTGAGAAATGGAAGTATATTAGTAGTCCGCTCATCTGCATCCAAACCAAAGCATCATGCAGTAGCATAGTTCAAATCAAGAGATCAGTTTTTACTGGAAGCCATTGCTCATAGCACAAGAAAGTATTTTCCCGACAGATTCACACTGAACAAAAGTTAGGGAAAAAGAAACATCTGTAGCTACAGATTGATATAATAATCTAAGAGAAAATGTATTTGTTCTTTCTTTCCCTGCTGGAATATAATTAAGGAGTATGGGACCTGCTACACCTCTGGAAACTCCAGTAGGGAAGAACTGCTAACTGAATGCTCCTTCCTCTCCTCCAGAGGAAGGTCTACGTGCAAATCACTATTCAGTGCAGACTGCTCCTGGGGATTAGTAAGACTAACAAAAACGCACCAGCACCTCCGTAACAACTCCACCGACCCCAGAGGGACTACCCTGGAGCTATGAGATTTACATAGAAGCCTGAAGACAAAGTCTGGTGCTACTGGAGAGGAAAACATGACCTCAGAACAAGGCACGCTGTATGTCACAGACTCACCTCCCTGGGTTACCTCACTTTCCCCTGTTCGCCACATCTCATTGGTTGCAAGAGAAAAAATGGTAACAGGATTTTTTCCATCCACTTGCCTCATGACGGGGTCCTGTCCAACCCGACCAAGTAACTGAACACGATTCATGGCTGAAGTATGAAAGAGTAAATACAGGTTAGATGCACTAGGAAGTAAGGGATAAATATCCATAGAGTTAATAATCATTAGCTCCTCTTCAATACTAGGAGAAGATTTTTCTTATTGTGGCAAGTCATGAGTAGGCAGGTTTTGTCAGGGGCCTACTGTAACCTCCATTTTTCAAGTTCTTCTGACTTTTGCCTTTTCAGTCCCTGCAGTAGGGACAGTGCCTGTTAGCACTGCTGAACAGCCTCATTTAGAAAGCTAAAGTTTCTTTATTTTCTTCTAATCCTTTGCCATCTTTTTCATAGGCACATCTATATGTGACTTCAGATTATTTTACATGTCTATGAAAAAAAATCTTGACCTTTATCTTTTCAGGTATGGCAAAACCATAGCATTTAGTTGTCGTCTTTGCCATTAAAACAGTTTCTTTAAAACAACAATGTTGCATTACCACATCACATCTTCCGAATTAGAGGGTTATTAATTTTGGCACAGGTACCAGGACTGGATGGATGCAATTTATTCCTTCTCCTTACTGAAGGACAACTGGAGGAAGCAGTGGAGCATCACTCTTGCGCAACGAGCACATGAACTGAATGGTAACATGTGAAGCATACACCTGGAGCAAATCACACTGGGGCAGCAGCAGCACCCAAATGAGTACCCTAGGCACACGGAAGCATGAGCAACAAGTAGATGAGACACCCAAAGGCAAGCATGAGAAAAACATGAGAATACTGTACCTGATTCACATATAGAGGTAATTCACCACTGACAAAGCAAGACTGCCTTCCTTTTTTATGCTGTGTCTTTTCAGGGCTTTTGTGTTTTCTCCCTGAAGGAGGACTCTTAACTTGGTGCAGACCAGATAGAAAGCTACTTAAGGGTTTTTTTTGTTTATTTTAAACAACGCTTTCACAATTATAGCGTTCAACCACAAACACTCATATACGTTCCTCCCCTGTGAGTGGGCATAGTTCTGAAACTATAAGAATACAAAGACTATCAGCTAGGCTTCATCTCTAACACACAGGAGCTACTTACATCTTTCAAGTACCAATGAGCTAACTGTATCAGACTCATGTCTTACAAACTGACGAAGCACCTGGAAGAACAGACAGATATATTAGTATCCAGGACACAAAGCATGAACAGTATTCACTTCTTTGAGTGCTTACAGAGATTATTTACTTTTCTGGTGACTTGGGGGGGGGGGAAAAGAGGGGGAGACTCGACTCAATCAAATGAAACCAACAGGATTATTCAAGTAACAATTACACAACTAGTTAAGGTGGGGTTAAACAGCTAGTTAAGAAAAATGATGGCCCAAAGGTACCTCTTCAACAATTATATGTAGGACATGAGCTATAATGCAGTAACTATTGTTTTTCTGTAATACCTAATAGGAGGGGCTTGAAAAGGAGCGGCTGTTTAGCTAGTCGAGCTTTGGTTTTTGCAAGCAGCTAGTTTCCAAAATTATGCAAGTTTTTGATAAACTTTCTGTTTTTCTGTGCCTTTCTGCTTCACTACAAGGATTAACAAGATATAACCAATATATACCTTATTCCACTGACACACGCAATACGATGCACTGACAACCCCTCATTCCCAAGGAAAAAGCAAATCAAGGCCACAAAAGCCTGAAGAGTGCTGTGGCTAAATACAAGGGAGAAAAAGAAAAGGAACCGACTTGATGCTGGCAAACATCATGTCACAGAAGAAAGAAAAGCTGAGAAACACGTGCAAAAGGCCCACGAGGAGGAACTGGAAAAAACCTAATCTTCTACAAGTGGTTGCAAGACTTAAAGGAAGGTGAGACTGAACAGAGAAACTAAAACAGAGAATAACAACTTGCAAAATGAAAGTTCTTTGGTATGATTGTGCAGCAGCTTGATTTACATGCAAATCATCTAAGACTAATTCCATTCGTCAAATCTTTTAGAACGTCATTCACTTTATACTAGCTGTGTAAATAAGGTCCAGCGTTTGTACTCTAAAAGAGCAACAGAGTACAAACAGAACCTCCCTTTTTCTTACAAGAAGCACTACCTGCTCTTGAGAAATGAAAGAGGCAACAGCTACAACCCAACAGACACCTGGGAGAACTCTTATGTATTTTTCTAACGGCGCATTCAGTTCTACGGTATACACATCAGCAGGTAAGGACCGTCTGAGCATGAAGAACTGCTCGTAAACAGTGCAAACGAGTTTAGGGGGAGGTTCCAAATACTCCCTGTCCTACAGCAGCTGCCTGCTCTGCTCTTTGCGACCCACACTGCAAAGCCGTGCACGTTGCCTACCAGGGGGTACGGCTGCAGCGCTCTGAATTACTCGCGTATGTCAGAACATAAAACACCGCTGCTAGCGCCCGAAGCGAAGACTACTTTCTGCGATGAGGGGTGAGAACAGACAAAAAGCCGCTTCCCCTCCTCCCAGCCCTAGGAGGAGAGGGTTTGGGCAAAAAGTATCCCTTTTGCGCCCAAGCGTTAAGGGGAGGCCCCCGGGGGGAGAAGAAGGGAGCTGCAGGAGGGACCGACACCGGCTCGGGCCTCGGCCCTGCCCAGGGAGCACCGGAGGGCCGGAAGGGGGTGGGGGGGGGAGCGGCCTCGCGCCGCCCGGGGACCGTTAAACCGTCACCCA